GGGACCCTCGACAAACCCATACACACCCCTAGTTGCGAGTCGACTGTCGGCTTGCAACTGGGGCCCCGGATAAATACACATCCCCTGGTTGCGAGTTGATGGTCGTTTGCAACTTGGGGCCACAACAAAACACACACATCATTAGTTGCGAGTAGATGGTCGGCATGCAGTTGGGGACCCTCTACAAACACACACACTCTTAATTGCTAGTCGATGGTGGACATGCAGCTCTGGACCCTCAACAAACACATACACCCCTAGTTGCGAGTCGATGGTCGGCTTGCAACTGGAGACCCTCAACAAACACACACATCTAGTCGTGAGTCGATGATCGGGCACCGACAACACACACACACCCTAGTTGCAAGTCAATGGTTGACATGCAACTGGGGACTCTTGACAAATACACACACCCCTAGTTGTGAGTCGATGGTCGGCTTGCAACCGGGGGTCCCAACAAACGCGCGCGTACACACACACACACTTAGTTACGAGTCGATAGTAGACATGCAAGTGCGGACCCAAACAAACACACACACCCTTATTCATATTTTTTAAATGTAAATTCAAATAAGTGTTCACAAATTAAAATTTTGTGAATTTTAGTAAGTGGTCACACACTTCAAAAAATGTTCATGTACTTAAAATATCATGAATTTGAAAAAAGGGGGAAAAAATTAAAAAGGAGAATAACAACAAAAAGGAAAAAAGCAGCTCAAATAAATGGGACAGATGAAGGGAGAGAAAGTGCCTAAATAGAGAATGAGTGAGAGCATAAGCTAACACCAGATCCTTTGTATATGGTGTTCGTTAAGTCTTCCTATTCTCCACGATCCAGAAAATACAAGCAACGATCCTCAAAAAAAAATGACCCACGATAGCAGGCCGGCAAAAAAAATGGAAGAAGGGGCCAACGAACCAACGGTAAGCGGCTGCACGTGACAAACAAACGGCCGACCAAAAGCTGCCTGAGATTTACATACAGGACGGACAGAGACTTGAGACACGGCCGAGATAAACAAAACGATTAATGGCCCGCCAATATCGGCGTACTAGACCGGCGAGACAAATACGATGCAGGATAACCACAAAATCAACGCCGATCCAATGGTGGAAGATTTAGATGTGAGGTATCTATTTCACATCTAGATATGAAATAGCAAATCCGATAATATTTATCCGGAGAACCAGATACGTGAAGGCTCTCGGATGGTCTACCATCTGTAAAAGCCAGGGGTCATGTGGGTTATCGTGCCTGTCCGTTAGGCGGGACAAGGCCGTGCATTGTCGGCGGCACGACCGACGATCATGGACCGTATAGGTCAAACAAGCCTCGTTAGAATGAGCGTTTACATGTACCATAGTAGTCAGTTCGGTAGGCATGAATGTTGGGGCCAGATTCAAAATAACTTTTCCAAGGGTCAGTGGGCGAATTAGTCATTTAGTACATTGATTTATGGGTGAGTACCTCCTGTGAGTCAAACTAATTAAATTTGGTGCTGTTCATAGACTGAATTATGTTTTTTTGTTTCTTAAGCTTTGAGTGGATATTTCTTTTTGAAGCTAACTTCGAGTGGAATTTGAATGTGCAATTTTGGCACATGGTAGATGTGGACTTTTTATTTACTCCTTTTGATCCATATTAGTTGTCGCTGAGGTGGATGTATTTAACAAATATTTCAATGATAGATACATCCATTTGAGCGAGAATTAATATGGATCGAAGGGAGTATCAGTTTTTTACACCATGCCTACATGCATTTTTTGTTGACCTTGTACACTGGCCTTGGTGGCATCAGAGTGCTGGTTGTTAATAAAATCGCAGCAGTTGATCTAAAAGATTTCAGCTTTTAGCCGAGAAGTTGGCAGCGGAAGCTGAACCAGCGACTTGCCTGTACCAGTAAGCATTCGTTTTGCCCCGCAAAAAAAAATCTATTCGTTTACCACAAAATACTGAACGACAACATATCAAACTTTTGTCCATACATGCAACAATATGTAATATGGATTGTCATTTACGTTAATAATACAAAATAACACTTCAAACATCTTGAACTTGGACAGGAGGGTAAACAGTCAACTGGCCAGACACACCACTGAAGTTAGATTCCTCCTAGCAAAATTTGATTAGGGACCAGGTCACAGTGACCTCAATCTCACATGAATCAACATTAACTGTACCTTCAAGTTTACCGCGTTCCTGAGGCGTAAAATGCAGACCGTCATCAAATCGTTGCCCACCGACGCCATAAGCGCTGACAGAAACTTCCAGATACTCTCGTTTTTGAAGTTCAGCACAAACAACATGGCGTTGAAGCTTGATGGTGCCATCATCAGCAAGAGGCAACCCATTATCATCACCGATCTCAAGCAACCAAACTGTCATGTCATTTATGCTGGCAGTTCTTGCAGCAAAAGAGCCTCGGAAACCATCTGGCCACGGCCCATGGACGACTTTCATACTGACTGAGGCCTCTACTGACCCAACAATGTGGCCAAATGTCAAGTCGAGTGCGCTGATCTTGTTGGTGTAGACAGACGTAAACAGGGATGAATCAGGCGGCTGGGTATTCCTGAACGGAGAGGCTACGTAGATTAGCTCTTGATCCTCGGATTGCCCAGCTCCACTCACCTTGAGGTCAACCTCAAAGTAGACAGGATCAACCAGCACAGCAGCACGTGCAGGCCCAGTCAGTGCTAGGTATGGAGACCGTTGGATTATGGATGGGCTTAGGCCCATATAAAACACTAATCCCTGATTAATCTTGAGGCCCATGTATGAGATGGCAGGTGGTGAAAAGTTTAGTCCCACCTTACTAGTTGAGAAGAGTTGAGACCCCTTTATAAGGGCTGCTCTACCACTTGTCACTGGGAGCTTGGGAAGAGGAGTGGTACACGCGCGCTCCTCTTCCTCCGCCGCCCGCCTCGCCACGCCGCGGGTTGCGGAAATGAGCCGAAGTTTATTT